AGTCTGGGTTGTAACAATCTGCAGACAAATTTATGAGTATCTCCTCCTTTGGTACACAGATCCTCACTGAGCCATGTACTGTGAACAAATAGTTTCTCCGTGATATTGTCCAGCAAGGTCCCGTTTTTGTCAAAACAAGGGTGAGGTAATGAAAAAATAGAAATATTTGATTAAATTAACATTTAAATTATTTATATGCATCATTAAAATAAAAAAAAACATGTTTTGAAATATATAAAGTGCACCAAACTTGACTCAGTCCATTCAACAATTCTAAATGGACAATTATGTAACTCATCAATTATTTGAAAGGATAATTTGTCAATTAAATACTGAAAAAAATAAACAATTCATTAATGAGGCAAGAACTTCTCTCTCTCTCTCTCTCTATCTCTATCTCTATCTCTCTCTCTCTCTCTCTCTCTCTCTCTCTCTCTCTCTCTCTCTCCTCTCTCTCTCTCTCTCTCTCTCTCTCTCTCTCTCTCTCTCTCTCTCTAGGGAGTTTGCAGTTATTTCAGTATGTATTTTTCCAGTATCACAAAAAATGTAATTTTATATGGTTAAAACCGTCTAGCTTATGTGCACTTTTTAAAACACTGCCCAGCAAACATTCGGATGTTTAATGACAGTTGAACGGTCACAACTATAAAATACCTGAAATTAAGAAAAACTAACATGACATCTACTGCATTTTCCTTGCCCGGACTCGAACCTGGATCCTCCGGGGCGAGAGTCACCCGCTCTCCCAGCTGAGCTATGCAGCAACTACTGAATGTCAGACTTTTTTTATATAGATAGAGGATACAGTGCGGGGTAAACTAACCAATCAGAGGACAGAGAAGATCTGCCACAGGCCACGCCTCCAGAGTGCCAAAAGCCCTTACAGCCGAGCGAGCAGGAGTCAGAAACCGAGCGCGCACAGAGGCTGCCGCGCGCGCACGTTTTCCTCTGCCGTGTGCTCGTTGACAACGCGCGCACGCAGGTTTGTCACTTGTGCACATCCTTGTGCGCTCACAGACACAGTTTGCTCCCTCTCAGTGCACAAATGACCTCTCGCCATGTATATTTCCGCTCGCGAGTCCCGTTCACACGCGCGCTGCCATGTATATTTGCGCTCGCGAGTCCCGTTCACACGCGCGCTGTGGACCCAATGCGCGTGCACGGGTTGTGGCACGCTTTAAACGCCATAGGCGAGCTCAGCTGCGAAATGCGGCAGGATGGCGGAAGAGCGGTCGCCCTTTATGTAGCTCCGGTAGCTATCTCAAATAATGGACTTGTGAAAGAAAACCACAAAAGGTTTGATTGGCCAATGGGGGTAGCGTGATCATGCTGCAAGCACATGCGCAGATCATTTTCTTTCTGGTCCTCTGGAAGGAAGGACGGTCCTGTCGCTTCAGATGCATCGCTAATCTGCTGGTAAAGTCTGCTACTCAGTTGTAGTCAAAGTAGCTGAGGGGGGTCAGAAATGTCACCAGAATTGTCGCTAGGCGCTTTTTTGAAAAAATGTCGTTAAGGGGGTCTGAAAAGGCGTTAGAAATGGTGACAAATTCGCTAAGTTGGCAACACTGCCCGTACTTCCGACTTTGTCTTCTTTGAGGATAATAAATGTCCTCCCGAGCGCTGCCGTCTCCTCCTTTGAACATTATTTCAGCTTTAGCTTCAAGAAAGTTTTGGTTGTAAACAACGAAGCGCGCAACTTCTGCAGATGATACGGTGGCTGGTAAGGGTCACCGCGCCTACACCGCAGCCACGGTAAACCCACCAAGATAATATAGTTTTTTTTAAAAAACAAGACGGTTATTATTATTGTCAACTTTTTTTTTTACCGGGGTTTACCGCTACACTGGTTACAGTGACAACCCTACGCTGATTGGTCTGCTTTGATCTATTTTGAAAACTCCGATCAAAACCGATAGGGGCGCTATCGGCCGATTACGATCAAATGCCGATCCATCGGTGCATCCTAGTAATATAGGCAGAAGCTGGATGTTTCCCTGAAAGATATCTAGTCCCCATAATTCGATCCCTGCTCCTGGATGAAAAACTGGACATTTTGATCAATGTAGGAACCCTGAACTCGAGTGGTGTTTCGTTATTGGACTTCTGTGCAAGCTGCAGTTTGGCCATAACGAACACCGTGTTCGAACATAAGAATGCCCATCGGTACACTTGGTACCAGGGCAGCCTAGGTCACAGGTCGATGATAGACTTTGTAGTCGTATCATCTGACCTGCGGCCGTATGTTTTGGACACCTGAGTGAAGAGAGGGGCGGAGCTGTCAACTGATCACCACCTGGTGGTGAGTTGGATCAGATGGCAGAGGAAGATGCCGCGTAGACCTGGCAGACCCAAACGCATAGTGAGGGTCTGCTGGGAATGCCTGGCAGAAGAACCTGTTAAGAAGGTCTTCAACTCCCACCTCCGGCAGAGCTTTGACCGCGTTCCGAGAGCAGTGGGGGACATTGACTCCGAGGGGGCCTTGTTCCACTCTGCAATTGTTGAGGCGGCTGTTGCTAGCTGTGGTCGCAAGGTGGCCGGTGCCAGTTGTGGTGGTAACCCCCATACCCGCTGGTGAACACCAGAGGTTCAGGGAGTCGTCAGGCTGAAGAAGGAGGCCTACAGGGCGTTGCTGGTCTTTGGGTCTATGGAGGCAGCAGACAGGTACTGGATAGCCAAGCGGGGTGCAGCAGTGGCAGTTGCCGAGGCAAAATCTCGGGCATGGGAGGAGTTTGGTGAGGCCATGGAGAAAGACTATCGATCGGCTCCAAAGAGGTTCTGGCAAACTGTCCGGTGCCTCAGGAGAGGAAGGCAGCAACTCGCTCACACTGTTTACAGTGGGGATGGGGAGCTGCTGACGTCAACTGGGGCTATAGTGGGGGGGTGGGGGGGGTGGAAGGAATACTTTGAGGAGTTCCTCAATCCCACCTACGCGCATTCCGAGGAGGAGCCAGAGCCGGGAGACCTGGGGATGGACTGTCCAATCTCTGGGGCAGAAGTTGCTGAGGTAGTCAAACAACTACACAGCGGCCGAGCCCCGGGGGCGGATGAGGTTCGTCCTGGGTATCTCAAGGCTATGGATGTTGCAGGGCTGTCGTGGTTGGCACGTCTCTGCAACATTGTGTGGTCATTGGGGGCAGTTCCTGTGGAGTGGCAGACCGGGGTGGTGGTCCCCATCTTTTAGAAGGTTGACCGGTGTGTGTGTTCCAACTATAGGGGCAGTGTTTCCCCTAGGAATTTTTCCAGCTGTGGTGGTGGTTTGGGGGGGGGGGGGGGGTTATGACACGTCTCACCTTTATGTTAATATTGTTTTATTAGATGCACTCCACTTTGAACTGCAACAAAAAAAACCCGACCGGAGGCAGTGACCGATGCATGCCGTTTTCAGCTCTGTCTTGTCAAATGCACCACATACGTTCCGAAAAAAGTAACTTTAAGTATTCAACCGAAAAAGGCGACCTGAAGAAAACCTCGGGAATACCGAAGAAACGTGAGCAACAATGAAGCAAGCACAGAGAGATCCGTTACTGTCTGTGTGTGTGCGTGGGGCGGATCAGAGTTTTGTGTGAGTTAATGTCACACTTTAAAGGTCAAATGTTCACGCTGAAGTTTATTTCTCTCCTTTTTTAATCCATGCAGGCTCTGATGCTGGAAAACCTGCAGAAATCATCCTCCTCTCACAGTGTGCTGCAGCCAAACTCTCAGGTTGGAGTTTATTTCCAGTTAAACAAAAGTTAAATTTAATATCTGGGGTAATTGTGTCATTTGTTTTCTTTTTGTACTAATGTGTAGATTGGGGAGGAGATGTGCCAGAACAGCTTCATAAAACAGTACTTGGCCAAACAGCAGGAGCTCCTCCATCAGAGGCTTGAGAGAGGGGCCCAGAGGGGAGAAGAGGCTGATGGTACATCACCCGTAGCGACACACATGGTAACTAAATGGTGTAATTTATAGTAAATAAAACAGAAAGTTTTCTTGTTGACAGAAAGTCCAGCTGGACCAGAGGAGGATGAAGACCATTCTGAAGACGAAGACAGCTCATCATACGTTACAGATAAAGTTAGTACTGGTTTATCTGGTCTATTCGCTCTGACAATCCTGTAAAATCACATTTGAACTGTAGCTGATAATCAGAATTATTAAAGTCATTTATTTTGTTCCAAATCATTAGAAATGCTGTAAAATATGTAAACGTTGTTATTTCTGTACCGGGCAGAGTCAAACGTTACCGTCCCAACCCTCGGGTGCTCCCGGTTCTACTTTCCACCACCAGGAGTCTCCTGAAGCTTCAGGAGTCAAGCTGCAGCGAGGACACAAGGAGGCCCCGGCCCCCTCTCCTCCTCGTGCGGTCGCCTACCTGTCGGTGCGAGTCCTGGGACAGCCCGGTGGCCCCCCTGCTGCATCCCGCTCCCAGGAGAAGGAGCAAACGGTTGATCCCGGATCGGCTCACTCTGCCCTTAACCTCAGTCGCTCTGTTGGGAGATCAGCAGGAAATCACGTACAGGAGGACAGCGACGACGACGATGAAGTCAACAGTGATGATAGTGATGAAGATGAGGACTGGGGGTCCAGTTCTAGCAGAGCAGGGATGCGGAAAAGAGCGCCTCCCCCGTTGCCACACGCGGCTCCCAGTAACTCCTCAGCTGCAGCGAGATCCAAACGCAAGCTTCAGCCTCCGCAGCACATCCTACCCCCGCCGCAAGTGGACCCCACTCCCATGCAGCTGCGCCACCCCACGCCTCCTCCTTCACCTCCTCATAACCTCTTCCCTTTGCCAGACACTCCCAAGCAAAGTCCTCCCGACGATCAGGAGCGGGATGGGCTCCGAGATCCACAGGTGACGCCTTTCCAATCTTCCGCAAGACAGAGGAAAGATTCGGATTCAAGCTCTCGCTCCAGCAGCCCGGAACCCCCCGTCAGAGGCAGGCCAGGGCCCCTTTCTCTGCTCGTACACAAGATGGAGACAGAGGAGGCGTCTGCAGCGCCGGGCTCGTCAGGAGATTCGGCACACTCCCCTGCCGGCTGTTCCAGGGAACCTCTGCTGCGAGGATCAGAAACGAAAAGAGCACAAAAGAGCAGAGAAGACAGGAAGCATCTGATGGAGGAGAAGGAGAGGGAACTACAGCAAGAGCAGGAACGAGAGAAGAAACGCCCAGAGGAAGAAAAGAAGAAAACACAACTGGAGGAGGAGAGGAAGCAGCGCCAGGAAGAGGAAGAGGAGAGGGAGAGAAAACACCGGGAAGAGGAAAAGGAGAAGAAACATAAGGAGGAGGAGGAGAAAAAAATAATACAACTAGAAGAGAAGAAAAAGGAAAGGGAAAGAAAACACCGGGAAGAGGAAAAGGAGAAGAAACATAAGGAGGAGGAGGAGAAAAAAATAATACAACTAGAAGAGAAGAAAAAGGAAAGGGAAAGAAAACACCGGGAAGAGGAAAAGGAGAAGAAACATAAGGAGGAGGAGGAGAAAAAAATAATACAACTAGAAGAGAAGAAAAAGGAAAGGGAAAGAAAACACCAGGAAGAGGAAAAGGAGAAGAAACGTAAGGAGGAGGAGGAGAAAAGAATACAACTAGAAGAGGAGAAGAAAAAGGAAAGGGAGAGAAAACACCAGGAAGAGGAAAAGGAGAAGAAACGTAAGGAGGAAGAGGAGAAAAAAAGAATACAACTAGAAGAGGAGAAGAAAAAGGAAAGGGAGAGAAAATGGCAGGAGGAGGAAAAAGAGAAGAAACGTAAGGAGGAAGAGAAGAGACGAGAGGAGGAACGGCTAAAGAAGGAAAAAACTCAGGAAAAAGCCAAAGAAGAGAGTACGTTGGCGGCTGAGACTCAAGACTCTGGCTCGTCTTCAGATTCTGACTCCAAATCAGACTCCTCTTCATCACCACGCTCCTCCTCTTCCTCCTCTCCTTCCTACAGGAACAAAACCCAAACGGTCAGTCAGCCTAAGGTTAGTGAAAACCCTGTTCTGGATCTCTCGCTCCCTCTCTCTGGATTCAGCAGCACCTTCACACATAAACATCCAACCAAACACTGGAGTTTAGTCTGTTTAATCTCCTTGTAGACGCGCGTACAGTACAGGCCAAAAGTGTGGACGCACCTTCTTATTCAATGTGTTGTCTTTATCTTCACGACCATTTACATTGGGAGATTCTCACTGAAGGCATCAAAACTCTGAATGAACACATGTGGAGTTTTGTACTTAACCAAAAATGGTGAAATACCTGAAAACATGTTTTATATTCTATTTTCTTCCAAATAGCCACTCTTAGCTCTGATTACTGCTTTCTACACTCTTGGTATTCTCCTGGTGAGCTTCAAGAGGTAGTCACCTGAAATGGGTTTCCAACAGTCTTGAAGGAGTTCCCAGAGGTGTTCAGCACCTGTTGGCCCCTGGTAAACGGTCATAAAAGTAAAGAAAACGCATTGAATGAGAAGGTGTGGCCAAACTCTTGGCCTGTACTGTACGTCTTGTTTTTGTGTCTTTAAAGAGCAAGTCACTCCAAATCAACATTTTTTTGCCGATAAACTATATAAATGAGTGTCTGACCATGCTGCAGACACGTGTAGTCAGTAATTCGGCACTTTAGTGCAGCTTAGTTAAAATTTAAATATTCTGCCTAAAACTGTCAGTGTTGCACCGTCGTCAGGTAAAAACTCAGCACTGCATTTGAATTTAAATCTGCCATCCCTATTGGCTAAGAGGTACACTATGACATTAGCTGGTACATTATGATGTCACAATGTCGTGAGTGTGTGTATTTGCTAGCGGCTCCACCCTCTCGGTCTGCTAGGCAACAGCATTTGTTGCATTTTTCAAACGGGAAGTGGGAGTTGAGTAAGAATCTGGTAGGGGGTGACTTGCTCTTTAAGAAAGCTTTGCTGCGATGGTGCCATTGGCTTTTATTTTTACATCATCCCACAGACGTCGGTCCAGAGACCAGAGGCAGATGATGAGAAGGAGACCGGTGTGGGTAAAGTGTCAGAGAAACCAAGCCTTTCTAAAAGGTCAGTGAGTGTTTTTAAGATACTGATGAATGAATTCTGGACACAAGCAATTTATGACTAAATAAACCACAGTTCCATTTTAAATCAAGGTTTTGGGAATAAAGAAATTATAATGAGTATGCTACTTCATCTACATTTATTTTATGACTCTGGCCAGCACACTGTTGAAGGCTTACACACAACAAAGCACAACTAAAGAAAGAGAATCATTAGTGACATTGGAATATCTGTTGCGTCATTTCCACATTAGCCCAGATTTCCTTTTCAGTGTGTCAGGACTACAAATTATGTTTCTGAATATATTCATCTTGCAAAGAATCAAAGGAGCGGGTTGCTGTCACTGCCATTGACGACAAAAGTCGTCATTTTAAATCCAACCGTTCACATTGTTTTACAGCAGGGATTCCCTAAGTGTGGAGCTGCCGCTAGGGGGTGCGCGAGGTGAAAAGTGTAATGGCTGCTGAGCTCAGAGAAGTCTGTCATATGTCACCATTAGCATAGCCAGAAACTCATTTGTGGGTGGGCCTAAGAAAAAGTAAGTGGGCCCAATAAATGCAATCGAAAACAAGTATATTTTGCGCGCGTGTGTGTGTCCTCCGCATGTGCCCTAGCTTCATAATAACAATGCGCCAAGCTTCAGTGCTCTGGCTTGGCGCACGCCGATATGTCCCGTATTTGATCATTTTCATCGGTGTTGGAGAAATCTGAAGGTGGTGAGTCATTCTGGCAGATTGTAATTAACACCCTGTCTCATGCAGGTGTTCTGACATTGTAAACCTCACACACAGAACATTATGGAGGATGTAACTAAATAAATCAAGAAATGATTCCCATCTGAGCATTTTAGCATTATTATATTATTATATTAGCACACTGACTGTGGGACAGCATTCTAAACGTGTCAGGCTATTAACAGCACCCTGAAGATCTGAAGTTCAGAGTGCGTCTGTCAGAGGTCAGACGCGTTCCAGCAGAACCATGGCTCACGGGTGCACATGTGAGCACATCTGGGCTGGGCAGAAGTCATTTTACAACATTGGTTTAAATAGCGCTAATAACGAGACGCGGTGACTGGAGCGGCTCATGGAGCTGTGCCGTACACACACACACACACACACATACTGATTCAATAAGCACATGCTGCACAAACTCCGGCGCTGCGCTGTGCCGTCACACTGAAGGCAGAAATGAGCGCTGCCTCCGTGATAAAAAACTTCTAAGAGGTTTTATAACAACATTTTTCATTCAAGGTCATATTAGCTTCTATTTTGGGATGACGTATTAAAGTCGAGTCCGCTCCAGCCAGTGACTCCTCATGAACCTGACTACAACTCATGTTACTGCAGCATTTGTTATTCCAGTCCGCGTGGCAGCGGATCGCAGATTCAGCCATACCATAAAATAGCAATAAGTCGGTCTGAGGCAAAAGTGAACCTCATGGCTATAGCTTTTCCATCTTTTCCTCTACATACATTTGATTACGCACAAGTAGGTGACCAGTTCAGGTTTACGCAGAGCAGAAGGAAGGAGAGCGCTCTGGGCACAGGTTAAACGTTCCTACTTTAATAAAACCATTAAATTGCATTGTTGATGTTCTACCTGGGCACTCTAAATATTTATTTAAAATTAAATCAAAGGAAATTGTAATGGTATTGAATGTTTATTAATTACTATTTAAAAATGAAAGTGATGGGGAAAAAGGTTGATCATATTTTTTTAACAGTGTCTGTCGAGTGACTGTTTAGCTTGATGTCTGATATTATATATATATATATATATATATATATATATATATATATATATATATATTAGCGCCATGTCCTGATGTGGGGGCTAGGGGGTGCATTGACATGGTCAGGACATAGAAGGCTAATAAATAAGTTTGGGAACCGCTGTTTTACAGCATTTTTTTTACTGTGTGGGCATGAGCCCGCACCGTGAGAACAAACATCTCAGCTCTAAAGCCGATCTTCATCCGTGTACGTCACATGTCACGTGATCAGGAAGCAGAAAATCCATGTGTTAGGAGATCGTTATTGGCCGCTGCTGTAAAAAAACTGTGAGGCGCGAACCGGAAAGCTTCTGCCGATCACAATTCGACAACAGATTATGAACGAACGGATAAGAATAAGAATAAGAACAACTTTATTTATCCCGAGGGAAATTCTTGTGTCATGTACATGCTCAAAGCAGTCGGAGAGACAAAGGAACAGGTGAAATAGAAATATGATATACAATATATTCATTAAAAAAATGATCTACAGTAGTACCATGTAGGATAGTGCAAAACAAACAATCGCATATCTCAATAATTAAATACATGACTGCATCCTTGTGAACGCTCAAAACGTGCGGATTCTTCCTGATGTAAGAGGTGAGTCTCCTCTTTGTTTTGTTAGTTTTGGCGTCGACATCATCCTAGCGCGCAACGTTATGTGACTCTTAAAAAAAAGTGAAAACGCTGAAAAACGCTGGCTGCGAAGGGCTTTTCTGATCAGGAAACGGCTGGCAGTGAATGAGTTAATAATTATTTCTGATTATAATCGGTCACTCAGTTTTTCATGCAGGCTGAACATGAAATAGTCTCCTACATCTATGTCCTGCATTAGCGTCTGATAGAAAATAGATGGTGAAACTCTAGGATTTGTAAGGCCGGACAGATTTACGTCACGCTGTCACTTAACATTCAGGGACTCCCCTATCTTGACTCACGACAGGGAAGGCTGTTGTTAGCGTCAACTAGTAGAAGCTAACCATGAGCATTAGCAACTCCACAAGACAGTAGAATTTGCTCAGGCTTGTGTTATTTGTGGAGATAAAACATCAACATTGCAAGTCAGCGGTAGAGTCGAGTCGCTGTTGACCAATCAGAGGCAAGATGTCCAAATATCAGGAAAAAAGACTCAATTCTGTTGTCTGAAGCTCAGGTCTCATGTAGCAAATTTCTAGCTTCTGAAACAACTGCACCGGAGCTTTGTTTCCTCCTCGAGTACAACAGTATTCATTCCTGCTAGAGACCACTGCACATTTATGTATTAAACAAGTGGACTACATCTTTAAAAACAATTTGTTTTGACCTACAACAGAATTTTGGGGGGGCTAAAACTATTGAAAAAACATGGGTTTGCATGGGGAATCTTCAGCCGGCATTTATGAATAATTTTTGTGTTCCTTATTACTTTTTCATTGTTTGCTATTAAATGTTAAAAAGGTTTGTGTAGCATATTTGTAAATGACTTATTTGTTTCAAATTTATTTATTTTGTGTTGAATAAGTTCACAAACTGTTCAGATGTTTATTTAACTACAGCACCATCAATGGAATATTATTATTTTATTATTATTCATCCTGAGCACAGCTGTTTCACTCACTGAAAGATCTGAACATTTGCTTGGTTTACAGAACAAACTAACATTGGTGCTATTAGTTAAAATGTGTACATTACTGCTTATTCATAAACATTCTTCCCTGCATGGACTTTTCTATAGAATACATAATCAAGGTGGAACATAGTGTTTATCATTTTGCCAGTAATATTTCATTTAGGTAAAATCAAAGGAGCAGCTGGTTGTTATTAATTCATTCACTGCCAACGACGACTAAAGTCGTCATTTGCATTTTTTTTTTTTTTTACTGTGTGGGCGTCGGACGAGCCCCCGCACCGTGAGAACAAACATCCCAGCTCTAAAGCCGATCTTCATCCGCATATGTCACACGCGTCACGTGATCAGGAAGCAGAAATCCATGTGTTAGGAGATCGTTTTGGGCCGCTGCTGTAAAAAAAAAGTGAGGAGCGAACCAGAAAAGCTTCTGCCGATCACAATTCAACAACGGATTATGAAAGAACGGATAACGCTCGAAACGCGCTGATTCTTCCTGATATAAGAGGTAAGTCTCCTCTTTGTTTTGGCGTCGACATCATCCTGGCGCGCAACATTCTGCGACTCTTTAAAAAACAGTTAAAACGTGAGAAACGCTGGCAGCGAATGAGTTCATAGATTTTATGGTTTTTGTTTTCTAATTAAATGTGTTTTCATCTCTTGACTCTTCCACATGTCAATAAGATGGACTGAACAAAAATCTGTGCTCTTCTCTCATAAATGTGTTCTTCAGAGGAAATGGCATACAGGTTTTCAAATTTGGATTAAACATGGGCGCTGAAAAGATGTATTCAATTATGACAAGTGTTTACATTCGTCACACGTTCAATTTGAATCTAGCGTTTTTACAGAAAACTAATAATTTAATACAATTATTTGTGTCAATGTAAACACGACTAGTGATCATAATTCTTCTCCTATTTTCGAATGTATAACCAATAAACCTCATTTACGTTGGCCGCATTTCAGTAAAAATAAGTAAATCATCAATGAACGAATCATTACAGAGTCATAAAAGAATGGCCATTTGAAAAGAGGAAGAATCTATTTTATGCTGCTGTATAATTAATCTACTGCCTTTATTAGATTTTTGCTGCCATTTACAAAAATAGCTTTATATTTTCCTCATTATTCTATTTCTCATAATTCGATGTGAGCTATGCCACGGTCTGACTGCCGTCCAACCCCAAGCTCTTATTTTGAAAATCTCCGACCGGAAAGTGATTACACATTCTGCTAGATTTGTCCGCGCTAGCCAACATGGCCGTCATGCATGCATTGCATCCCTGATACCGACGCAGTATAGACGGCTAGAAAGAAATAGAAACAATTGCGACGGTTTCAAGTTTTACGTTTCCAATTTCGACCCGAACCGGAGCTAAATATCCGTTAGCCGCGGAGGGTCGGTCGTTACTCTCGGGGGTGCTCTTTGAAGGCCGGTCACAATGCTGTCCGAAGGCAACAAAAACGGGTAAGCCAAGGAGCGAGTCGAGGTTGCTGGTTGTACTCCCACAGCGCTCATACAGAAATCAAAGGCGTTTCTTCCCTCCTGTGCCAGCAGTCTGCTGCTGCTGCTGCTGCCTGGCTCAGTGATCGTGTCATCGGCTCGCACCGGCCTGC